CCTCGTGACCCATTATCTATGAAAAGTATAAGACTAGTGAAGCCTGCAGTATTGCCATATCACACATTTGAACATGATTACATACTCCTTTAAAAATGCTGCTAGGTCATTACGCATGACCCATTCTTCAAAAAAGTACTAATCTTACTGTGACCTTGATATGAACGCCCTCTGTGACCTTGAGATGAATGCCCTCTCGGGGTTCCCTGACGATCACTCTGCCCCGACGTATCGCTTTCTATTCGAGGTGCCCTTTCAGAGTGCCTTCTCGGGGTTCCCTGACGATCACTCTTCCCCGACGAATCGCTTTCTATTCGGAGTGCCCTCTCGGGTTTCCCTGACGATCACTCTGCCCCGACGTATCGCTTTCTATTAAAGTTTTGTTCGGAATGTTATATAATATATATATATATATATATATATATATATATATATCTCTTTTCGTTATGTGTTGGTCTCTCTCTGTGCTGACCTATTATACTCCTGTTTATGGAATGGGGAAATACTAGATATGTCTTCCATAAGCTAAAAGGCCAATAAATGCCAGCTTTTCGACAAAATATTTTCCATTATTATCGATTCATGTGAATTATAATTTATACATTTATATCATTAATTTGTTCAGAAGTACCTCGACCCTATGTGTTAATTGTGTAATATTAAATTCATTCTATCTTTTCACTAAACTCATTAATGCCATTGGAATTTTATATGGATATCACCTAAATAGATGATGGTGAAATATGCTGAAGACAAAAAAACTTCTTCAAAAGGTCCCGTTTTAAACCCATTTTAAAACATAATGTGGGTCTATATTCGTACTTAACATGTAATGTATTCAAAACAAAACATGATTATTACTATTAAACGGTGTGAGCAGCAATTCCGTGCTTTCTCCTAATACAAATGTGTATATATGTCCATCACTACAATTTGACCAGTTGATCGCGATATAACAAAAACATACATGTACCTGTATATGGCCTCGGGCATCACCTGGTTCATCACAATAGATCGTGCAGAAATGGAATGTTCGCATCGTTAATACATGTACATTTCTGTCATTGTGACGTACTTTTAATTAATCTTAGTGACAAAGGTATCTATTTCAATCGTGAATGGCGTGTATCTGTTTTTGACGCTACCGAATAACATAACAATTCAATGCATTATGCTTGCGTCTATTAAGATATGACTACGTGCACTTACAATAATACTGTTTGGGACATACATATATGAAAAAAACCATCACGCATATCTTTTCTATTTCAATAAGTGAACTCTTGTTTCTATTTGATGGTGTATAATCACTATTTTTCCCGTCCGTCTAAACATCAAGAGGTGGGCGTGTCTTTTTACTCTACATCTACCTATGTAATGTATTTTTAACCTTATTGTATGACTGCACCAAGTCTAGTACCGTTCCAAATCATTTCATTCCGATTTTCCGAGTCCGCTGTCACCCTTAATATGTACCTATCGTTGTTAATTATTGTCCCCTGTAAATGCTATCGAAGGGATGTTACGATGTAAAGTTATATTAACAGGTTGTGCGATATGATACGCGACCTAAATGTTATTTTTGTTAAGTCTTCATTTATTAGTAAGAATTCGTAATTGCTTTAGTCCTAAATGCTAACAGAAACACATGTATTCCAAAGGAGCAATATGATCAGGTGGCGCGGTCAGGTGGCGCGGTCAGGTACCTTGTCCACGTTATGGCTAAGCCATTCCAGTGTGATCGTTAGCGATGATGTAAAAATCCCCACATGGCGTTATAGAAACCCATCGTTACAAACCTTTCAACTCGTTAAACAACCAATAAGTATAAATTAAACAATAAAAGTTATAATGAAGTAAACAGTGAAAAATGATGTACAAATCAGCATCCTGGTGTTTTAAAGGAAACATGCGTATGGGGACCTTGAAGGGCAAAGCCGTATATTTCTACCGAGATTGTAGTTGAACAGTGCTTAAAAATTATGACTAGGATTAGTAAATTAGTATCACGTGTTAAAGACAGCATATAATTAATGTGACAAGTACGAAATAGCAATACTTCGTAACCGAAAGCACGTGTGTAAGCACCGGAAGTAGATGTAGACCTTGCTACCAATTACAAATTCACTAGACACATGGCGACTGCCTAATTGAATAGGAGAGATCGACAGTTCAGTTGAAATGGTCCATTGTGACTACAGAGAGGACTATAAAAACTACTTTATTGTAGTATCCCATGTGATTCAGTGCCACTCACACGGAATCAATCAAGATCTTCTGCGACAAGTACAGAGCGCTATCCTGTAATACTATCATTCATCATTACAGTGACTTGACCTAATACATCGTAAGCGAGTGACTCATGGACTCCCGATTTACAAACTCCTGAATTCACAAGACTAATGCCGGCAGCATATTGAGATATTTTGAGATGGATTTGGAAAGGGGCTTGCCGTGGGAGCGCCAGCGGGAGACTTGAACCATATGAGGATTGCGAAACTAGGCTTCGATAACCAATCATTAGTGTGTTTAGCATTAAAAAGAGACTTGTACATCCGCCAATGTGTTGGAATATTTTCAATTTAAGCAGTATTATCGATCACAGATTTAATTTCAAACTTCGAACAACAAAGCCAGTGCAACTATACCTTATGGCTCTGCCGGACCCCTTAGAGTAGGATGAGATCATCAACGCATTAGCTGTGTGCATACCATCTCTAGATTTTGACACGTGCAAATGGAACTTAGGAGCCAAATGAAGCACGTGAATATGATTCACAATTCCATTCATACATTAAAGATTTAACAAAATTACTTCAACGGTATGACAACGACACCAATTTTATTGGCGAAAAATCACTATTCAGCGTGTCCCTTTTGTTAATTACGCCCAAAGATATCAATGTATCTTTACATGTCGTTTACCTGTGATTTACGCGGAGCGTTAGATGGGAGTGGGCTAGGTGACGCGCCTGCTCCGTGTCAGCCATGACAGAAGCGACCGGTATCCACGGAATGTTTCCTTCTGTCTAATGATATCGTTTCACTGACCGCCGTAATTACAGCGTCTAACATTCGAAGGTCATTGTTTATCTCTCCGTCAGATTCACCACTATCCACATAACACGAATCAGCATCCTATGAAGATACGCGGAAGTATTTTCCAAACATCCCGTGTACTTTGCTCGTCTGTATGGCGGCCTATGTGTGCAGTGTGTTGGTACTTGACTGCAACCCCCATGGACATTATCCGTCATGCTATATACAGAACTGTATACAATTTATATGCCATGGCCATGTGGACTGCTGATATACCTGACAGACGCTTATCTCGAGTATAAACCATCAACCCAGGACACGTTCAGACAGACATCAAATATTCATGAATGCAGTTCTTCAACGTTATTTTTTAAAATTAAACAAAATTAATTAATTACAAAAATTACAGGAAGGACACTGGTAATATTTCCTTGTCTTTTGGGTGAAGATATAACACATTCGAAAAATACGCGTACATTGCCAGGTAGTTTATATATTTCGGTGAAGATATAACACATTCGAGAAATACACTGCCAGGTAGTTTATATAGAGAGTGACGTACCGTTAAGTTACTGCTTGAGCACAAAGTGGACAAAGCTACACTTATCTTATGAAAACGAAATCAGGATATATAGACTTCACTGTCGCGTTCACTTTTGCCCGCTCCAAAAAAATATCACGTTATCTCTCCTGGTATTGGGTGTTCAAGTCACGTGAGCTGCTCTCGAAGTTTATAGGGGATTAAAACCATTCCCAATGAGTGATGAGACAGCACAGTTATAATTAACAACTCCACTCATGTGTTTTCTCCACAAACAATGTAATACACCTTTCTTTATCGTAATTGGCAAATAGAAGACTATTTCTTCACACCTGTGTGGCAATAGTAAACGTCCCAGTCACCAACCACTATGACCAAAGTCCATATGGTTTTTAGCGCGTGAAATATGTTTACCTTATCATCAAACTTTGTCGACAGATTATTGGCGGCGGGAGCAAAATAAAACTTTAAATTGGGAGAGGATCATTTACCGTGGTATAAAGATGCTAGTAGCCTTCATTTACCAGACATAACATACGGTTACAATAAAACAGACGACAAAATTATTACAGTGTTAAGAGTATGACAAAATAAACTGAAAATCGAACATCAACATTTTGTTATAACGCATTCAACAAACTGCGAGTTCTAAGATTACGTGGAAACGACCGATCAAGTTTTAATTTCCTGTTCCAAACAAAGAAGTAAATAGAAATAAAATTCCTCTGTATCCCCATCCCCCGCTGTAAAGAATTGTATGATCACATAAAGCACGCCGCATACTTGTAAAGTTGAACTACTAACACATAGTCCATCGAATGAGACTTAAAATGATGACCTCTGCGGTTATTCAGAAAAAAGCAAGCGTGATAACGCTGGCTCAGAGGGTAGAGTTGGATTAACATTAGGGACTATTTATCAAGAAATTTTAACGGACATCCGAAATATCCACAATCGGTTATCCTGCTGCCTAGCCAGAGTCATCTTCATCCCATTCTCACCTATAACATCATACCATTTCCTCTCTACACATTTTTTTATATCTTTTGTCATCCCCTGAAAGGCCGTTACAGAGGACGTAAAACCCGTTAAATCACAGACATACCACACCATGTGCGATGAGCCGCCTTGTACAGCTATGGTACAGCCATGACCATCAAATGGTGTAGAAAGGGCGTTGGTTGCCATAGATATTGGCGCCGGCCGGTTACTGCATTGTTAACACTAACAAGACTGGACACACGTACACAGCTTTAGAACATTGTCAAAATTTAAGTGAGGATCGGGACTTTACAATGTAAAACAGACACAAAAGAAATTCGCTATAGTAAAGGAATTGCTGCCTCCCAAGTACAGGTAAAGCCGATTTATAATAATTACGGCCAGTGCTTTACAAAGTCGTGATAACAATCAAACTTACCTGCGAAAGTGATGAGGACAATTATACCAGCGAGATGATACATTTTCTTAGCTGTGTCGTATATTCCTTTGTAAAAAAAATGTTAAGAAGTCTGCAGGTATTCCAATGGAATGTTCTGCGTGTGAATCCGAAGGCCGCTGTGGCTAAAGTGATGAACTGCAGTGTAGAGTAGAAGGCGAGACTAGCAGCAAGGGGCCCGCCACGGGATGTTCGTCAAAGATCTATGGACTAGCGATAGTGAGGATGTAATGAGTCTCGAGTGTCGAAAATCTTTTTATGTCGAACAAACCAAAAAGTAGGGAGCGAGAAAAACGCACTGTCAGCCCCATACCCCAACCCCTCATCTTATTCTGTAAAATGTACAAGTCCTTTTTGCATGGGTATTGGCTCGATACCAGTGAACTCATGGCTCAGTACTGATCCAGTCTATATTCATTATAATTGGCACAGTGATTATTTTCCAATGAAGGCAATTATTTTATTTTTGACCTTAGCACACCAATTTAAACGTCACTTCTTCTGGAAAATTTGAACAAAAAATACAGGAGCGAAAAGGTGGGGTTTATATTTTATCTTTTCTAATTCTGGTAAATTTTAGTGCGAGCGACAGTAAAATTTCACAATCATGCATTTTGATGCCTAAAAGGCGGCACATATTGGATAATTTAGATAGTATTTGACTGTAAGTATTTTTTCATGCTTTTAAGTGATCTCCTTTATATGGGAACATTCAAACACATTTTTTTCATTCTCTTACGTAATCAATATTTTACTGCACAGTATTTCCATGGTGTGTAAAATAGTTCACACCAGGTTATCAAAGAAAAAAGATCAAAAGAAATGAAGAGGCAAATTATCTTGTTTTGTTTGGAAATGAACCCAAGATTTCTGGGTACATATATATACCCTCGTAATTTACCCTCAATCTACCTAGACACTCTGTAATGCTCACCCACTACACATCAAGAGACTCACTGGTAAGATAGCTCACCCTCTGTATACCACGACATTCTCTGGTAAGTTCACCCTAAATCTACCTAGACACTCACTGGTAAGTTGGCTCACCCTCTGTATACCAAGACATTCTCTTGTAAGTTCACTCTAAACCTACCTAGACCATCCCTGGTAAGTTGGCTCACCCTCTGTATACCAAGACATTCCCTGGTAAGTTCACTCTAAACCTACCTAGACCATCCCTGGTAAGTTGGCTCACCCTCTCTATACCAAGACATTCTCTGGTAAGTTCATCCTAAATCTACATAGACATTCCCTGGTGTTACGTTACGGAATTAACATACAGCAAATGAAATCCAACAGCTAGGTTTACAATTCAACAATTTAATAACAACAAATAAATTCTATGCAGTACAATTACAGATATTGCGATGGTGTACAGAGCTGGCCACTATCTAATAAAAAGTCAGAACTTTTCATGCGATGGAAGTCCTTCAAATCCAGCAGAATTCACAAAAGATTGTCACAAAAACATGGTATCCGAAGAATAATCCAAGAATCGTTTCCTCGTTGAGTATATATAAGTGTAAGTCCACAAGGCACTATCACTGAATCACCGTGAAAGTCCATACTTCACAGACTGAAGTCTCAAAGTAAGCTCACTCCAGGCGTTAATACTTCAAAAAGGCTCATTTCCATCATGTTTATATACACTAAAGGTTTCTAGAAAGTTCTTTTCTAGATGATTCTAGACTAGCAGGTACCTAGCTTGTTTACATGTGTCTCCAGAAACTTCCGGAAACACCCAGGTAATTCTAATAACCGAATTTTCCAGATTTAGAAACTTCCGGAAACACCCAGGTCATTCTAGTAACCGAACTTTCTAGATTTAGACACTTCCGGAAACACTCAAGTAATTCTGATAACCGAACTTTCTAGATTTAGAAACTTCCGGAAACACTCAGGTCATTCTAGTAACCGAGCTTTCCAGAAAAATCTGCCTGGCATTATCTACACATATTGTGACAAATAATTATAAACAGGTTTTTATGTAAACAATCAATATGACACAATGTATGTAAACATGGCACATATGAATTTGGATTAATACACAACATTTATACATAACACTGGTAAGATGGCTCAACCTATGTATACCTAGACATTCCCTGGTACGTTGGGTCACCCTCTGTATACCAAGACATTCCCTGGTAAGTTAGCTCACCCTCTGTATACAAAGACATTCCCTGGTACGTGGGCTAACCCTAAATCTACCTAGACATTCCCTGGTAAGATGGGTCAATTCTGTATACCTAGACATGCCCTAGTCAGTTGGCTCACCCTCTGTATACCAAAACCTCCTCTGGTAAGTTCACCCTAAATCTACCAAGCTACTTCCTGGTAAGATGGCTAACCTTCTGTATACCAAGACATTCCCTTGTAAGTTCACCCTGAATCTACCTAGACATTCCCCGGTAAGATGGCTCACCCTCTGTATACAAAACATTCCCTGGTAAGATCACTCTAAACCTACCTAGACACTCCCTGGTAAGATTGCTCACCCTCTGTATACCAAGACATTTCATGGTAAGTTCACCCTAAATCTACCTAGACACTCCCTGGTAAGATGGCTCACCCTCAATGTACCTAAATATACCCTCGTAATTTACCCTAAATCCACCTAGACACTCCCTCGTAAGTTCACCCTAAATCTACCTAATTATACCCTCGTAATTTACCCTCAATCTACCTAGACACTCTCTGGAAAGCTCACCCACTACACATCAAGACATTCCCTGGTTAGATGGCTCACCTTCTGTATACCAAGACATTCCATGGTAGTTCACCCTAAATCTACCTAAATATACCCTCGTAATTTACCCTCAATCTACCTAGGCACTCTCTTGAAAGCTCACCCACTACACATCAAGACACTCCCTGGTACATTGGCTCACTCTCTGTATACCAAGACATTCCATGGTAAGTTGGCTCACCCTCTGTATATCAAGTCATTCCCTGGTAAGTTCACCCCAAATCTACCCAGACATTCCCTGGTAAGTTCATCCCAAATCTACCTAGACACTCCTTGGTAAGATGGCTCTTCCTCTGTATACCAAGACATTTCCGGGTAAAATGGCTCACCCTCTGTATACCAAGACCTTCCCGGGTAAGTTGGCTCACCCTCAATCGACCTAGACACTCCCTGGTAAGTTCAACCTCAATCTACCTAGACACTCCCTTGTAAGTTCACCCTCAATCTACCTAGACACTCCCTGGTAAGTTCACCCTAAATCTAACTAGACATTCCCTGGTAAATTCACTCTAAATCTACCAAGACACTCCCTGATAAGGTCACCCTAAATCTACCTAGACACTCCCTGGAAAGTTGACTCACCCTCTGTATACCTAGACACTCCCTGGTAAGTTGGCTCACCCTCTGTATACCTAGACACTCCCTGGTAAGTTCACCCTAAATCTACCTAGACTCTCCCTGGTAAGTTCACCCTAAATCTACCTAGTCTCTCCCTGGTAAGCTGGCCCACCCTCTGTATACCAAGTGATTCCCTATTAAGTTCACTCTAAATCTGCTACGACATTCCCTGGTAAGTTCACCCTTAATCTACCTAGACATTCCCAGGCGAGTTAATTCTCTACCTACCTAGAGATTCCCAGGTGAGTTCATTCTCTACCTACCAAGACATTCCCAGGTGAGTTCATTCTCTACCTATCAAGACATTCCCAGGTAAGCTCATCCTCTACCTACCAAGATATTCCATGGTAAGTTGGCTCACCCTCTGTATACCAAGATATTCCGTGGTAATTTCACCCTAAATCCACCTAGACACTCATTGATAAGATGGCTCCTCCTCTACCTACCAAGTCATTCCCTAGTAAGCTCATCCTCTACCTACCAAGTCATTCCCTAGTAAGCTCATCCTTTACCTCCCAAGTCATTCCCTAGTAAGCTCATCCTTTACCTCCCAAGTCATTCCCTAGTAAGCTCATCCTTTACCTCCCAAGTCATTCCCTAGTAAGCTCATCCTTTACCTCCCAAGACAGTCATTCTCGGATAAGCGGAATTAGCTGAATCTCTATCGAGACAGTTTCTGATTTGGCCGCTGTCGGTAATAAGGAAAGGTTGAGTGTCAACAGATGCTCACATTGTCTTAATACATATAAGGTGTTTTTGTCCTTTCATTTATTTATTTTTGTGTCTTATATCAATTTGCTTGTGTCTTCAGTATTCAGTTTTTGTATGATAATTGTCATCTATTCAGAATTTTTTGTTAGTGATACTTAGCGCCAGCTTGAATATCCTTCAAATATAGCTTTATAGTCTATCGTTCTAAATAAAAGTAGAGATTTTAACCATGACAAAGTGAACAGGAAGATATTGATGAAAGCTTTGGATGAGACGTAGGCCTATCCCTGTATCGCTTCCTTTTCATAGAACATTCTTCATTTGAAAGTTGATTTCCGTGTCAATTCAAGTGGCAGATAACGAGTCTTGGTCACAAAATATCTATGTTACAACGGCCTTATTACATACCATAGTAAGTAGACCAGTGACTCTCCCGACCTACTATTTTACACAAGGGAGTGCTTAACACTTGGTATATATAGGAAAAACTACATATTACATATGTGTGTAAGTGCGACCTAATACCCTCGGGCAACACAGCTACGTTTACTGACAGATGTGACAGTTGTAGCCCAGCCCGCGAGGGATACCATAAACGTATTCATATACAGTCGGCTTTTAAATACTCATCAAAATACAATTATACAAGACATGTTTACAATAATAAAATCAGTGATTATGTGTTGTATCCGCGCCTCGATTGAAGTGCTTAAGGTACGAAGTGCATACCGAGGAGTTAAAACCCAATGGATGTGGAGAGGGATGTGAGAGTGGGGACTTATACTCATTCAGCAATTTTTAAATAAGTACTATACATAAGGACGTTTTTGATGTCACATCTTTTATAAGTGTTTTTGGCCCAGTCATTGTTTCGTTCTTGAATTTATGGTTAGATGTACGTACTCCCTAAAACCAATGTTCACAGTTGACATCCTTGGTTTTTACACGTAAATACACTCAAAAATCAAATGGAAATATTCAACGTGTTTTTGTTAAGTTAATCAATGTTAATACAATAGATTGAAGCCATGGTCGTGTGTGTATTTTGACGATGTGTTT